CATGGCCATCAGACAAATCAAGAGTGGCAAAGCAGCAGGACCGGACAACATCCCAGCAGAGGCACTAAAAGCAGACGTAGCGGCAACTGCAAGGATACTCCACATTCTCTTCAATAAAATTTGGGATGAGGAACAAGTACCAAAAGACTGGAAAGAAGGACTTCTGATCAAAATACCGAAGAAAGGCGATCTCAGCAACTGTGATAACTACAGGGGCATCACTCTTCTCTCAATACCGGGAAAAGTCTTCAACAGGGTATTGTTAAACAGGATGAAGGACTGCGTAGACGCCCAACTTCGTGACCAACAGGCAGGATTCCGTAAGGATAGATCGTGTACAGACCAAATCGCAACTCTACGGATCATTGTGGAACAATCAATTGAATGGAATTCATCACTCTACATCAACTTCATTGACTACGAAAAGGCATTTGATAGCGTGGACAGAACAACACTATGGAAACTTCTTCGACACTACGGCATGCCTCAGAAGATAGTCAATATCATACAGAATTCCTATGATGGATTAAACTGCAAAATAGTCCATGGAGGACAGTTGACAAACTCGTTCGAGGTAAAGACTGGTGTCAGGCAAGGTTGCTTACTCTCACCCTTTCTCTTTCTCCTGGTGATCGACTGGATCATGAAGACGTCAACGTCTGAAGGGAAGCACGGGATACAATGGACACCTAGGATGCAGTTGGACGATCTGGACTTCGCAGATGATCTGGCTCTTCTATCCCAAACGCAACAACAGATGCAGGAGAAGACGACCAGTGTGGCAGCAGCCTCAGCAGCAGTAGCTCTCAATATACACAAAGGGAAAAGCAGGATTCTCCGATACAACACAGAATGCACCAATCAAATCACAATTGACGGAGAAGATTTGGAAGATGTAAAAACCTTCATACGGGCAGCATCATTGATGAACATAGTGGATCTAATGCAGACGTGAAGGCGCGGATCAGCAAAGCAAGAGCAGCATATTTACAACCGAAGAACATCTGGAACTCATAACAACTGTCAACCAATACCACGGTCAGGATTTTCAATATAAATGTCAAGACAGTTCTACTGTATGGGGTGGAAACCTGGAGAACTACGAAAGCCATCATCCAGAAAATACAGGTATTTATTAACAGTTGTCTACGCAAAATACTTCGGATCCGTTGGCCGGACACTATTAGCAACAACGTACTGTGGGAGAGAACAAACCAGATCCCAGCGGAGGAAGAAATCAGGAAGAAGCGCTGGAAGTGGATAGGACACACATTGAGGAAAGCACCGAACTGCGTCACAAGACAAGCCCTCACATGGAATCCTGAAGGCCAAAGGAGAAGAGGAAGACCAAAAAACACATTACGCCGAGAAATGGAAATAGACATGAGAAAAATGAACAAGAATTGGATGGAACTAGAAAAGAAGGCCCAGGACAGAGTGGGTTGGAGAATGCTGGTCAGCGGCCTATGCTCCATTGGGAGTAACAGGCGTAAGTAAGTAAGTAAGGTAAACTTAGCGATAGGGAAAGACACCTAGGTGGATCTTATAGCATCGTGGCTCAAACAACAGATAATGGCGACCGTCTGTTGCAGCTATGCTCAGATAGCCGCCTGTTCCTTGCAAATACTAACTTTAAGCATAAGGAAAAACATCTTTTAACATGGCGACCCCCTAGTTCGTCCCAACGTTGAACCCAAATAGATCACATCGCTATCAGCCACCGATGGAGAGGCTCGATAGAAGACTGTCGCTCATTCTGGAGCACATGCCTAGATTCAGATCATGCTCTAGTGCGAGCGCGTATTTGCTTGCGTCTTGCTGAACGTAGGAAAGATGCTGCAAGTAAACGTCTTAGGGCCCTACTTAATGATAGTCAAACTAAGAGTACATTTCAGGAACAACTAGGAATAGAGTTAGGCAGCCATGTATGTGATGCCCACCCTGATGCAGCATGGAATGATATCCGAAAAGCACTGGAAACAGCAGTGATGTCTGCTAGCACGATAAACCGTAAGGTTAGGGAGCAACACTGGATCTCAGCAGCATCTATCGCACTGATAGATGCTCGGAAACTCATTCCACCTGGCTCTGAACATAATGAAGAGCGGAGTCAGCTTAAGCGCAAGCTGACAAGAAGTCTACGCAATGATCGCGAACAGTGGTGGGTAGCGAAAGCAAGAGAGATGGAAAAGGCAGCGGCAATAGGTAATAGCAGACAATTGTTCAGACTCGTTAAGGAAACCGGAATTAGGAACCCGACTGTTAGCGAGAAAGATGGACATATTATTCATTCTCAATCCAGGAGATTGGATCGATGGGCAGAACACTTTAGGGATCAGTTCAACTGGCCTTCAGCCACACTTCGGTTTCCCACGATCTCTAGTCAACCTGAATGGCAAGTTAATGTAGGTCCTCCGACTCTTTACGAAGTTGAAAAAGCCATAGGAAATCTGAAACGAGGGAGAGCAGCAGGCCCTGACAGGTTTACTCCTGAGATTTTTAAGGATGGTGGTCCAGTATTAGCAATGAGATTAAACGAGGTCTTAGGTAGAATTTGGGAACTGGACGTAATCCCATCTGACTGGTCTCAATCACTGATTGTGCCAGTCTATAAGAAAGGACAAAAGTCCTCTTGTGACAATCACAGAGGAATCAGTTTGACTAATATAGTGTCTAAAATATTAGCTTCAATAATACTTCGACGCCTAATCAAAGCTCGTGAAGAGCAGATTAGAGAAAACCAGGCCGGTTTTCGACCTGGACGTGGTTGTATAGATCAGATATTCACACTACGTCAGGTTCTAGAACACAGACACACATTCAGACGCCCCACAATGGTAGTATTTCTCGACCTTAAGGCGGCATTCGACTCGATTGATCGTGAGGTTCTATGGCAGTGTTTGTCACTGAAAGGAGTACCAAAGAAGTACATTAACCTTATAAAGGCTCTCTACTCGAACACAACTGGTCGAGTGAGAGCTTATGGCGAACTGTCATCAGAATTGATCACCTCAAGTGGTGTTCGTCAGGGCTGTCCACTCTCCCCATTCTTGTTCAACTTTGTCGTCGACGTACTTTTAGAGATAACACTCTCCTCATCTAAATTTCCAGGGGTTGAACTTCTACCGGGAGGTTCACTTGTTGACTTAGAATATGCTGATGACATAGTTTTATTTGGTGAAGACGCTGACAAAATGCAGAGTCTTCTGACCACTCTAAGCAACAATGCAAGCATGTTCGGGATGCGATTCTCCCCTCGAAATGCAAAATGTTGCTTCAGGATTGGGTTACATCGACACCCGAACTAGTGATAGGGAGTGAAGTAGTTGAGTGTGTCGACCGCTTCACTTATCTTGGAAGTCTCATCAGCCCTTGTGGTTTAGTGTGTGACGAAATCTCAGCACGGATACAGAAGGCTCGACTAGCTTTTGCCAACTTGCGTCATTTATGGCGTAGGCGAGATATCCGTCTATCAACCAAAGGACGTGTTTACTGCGCAGCAGTTCGTTCCGTCCTACTTTATGGCAGTGAAACATGGCCGGTAAGAGTAGAGGATATCCGTAGGTTACTAGTATTTGATCATAGGTGTCTTCGAAACATTGCTCGTATATCATGGGACCATCGAGTAAGTAACACAGTTGTTAGGAAACGGGTACTAGGTAAGGATGGCAAATCAATTGATGAAGTAGTGAAACTTCATCAGTTGAGATGGCTGGGACACGTGTTACGTATGCCCAACGACCGACTGCCTCGACGTGCTATGTTCAGTGGTATAGGAGTAGGTTGGAAGAAAGCTAGGGGCGGCCAAACCAAAACATGGCACAAGTCCATGAAGTCACTGACAAGTGAACTGAGTCATGTTGGTAGGTGTAGACTACCTGGTTGGGGACCGCGAGATGATAGCAACCGATGGTTAGAGACCCTGAATGACATGGCTCAAAATCGTTTGCAATGGCGCAGGTGCATCCACTCTTTGTGTTTTCCCAAATTCTAATCTTCTGAGTTCTTCTTGCACCTTTCTTTTTTCTCTTCCCAAACTTATTCCACTGAATTATACTCCTTGGATAACATCTTCAAACCCTAATTTTTCTGATTACAGCTTATAATTTTACTACATCTAGCACTACAGGATTTGAATCGACCACTGCATCTCTGTGCTAATATGGTGTGGCAACTTGAACTGATGTACGTACGTACGAAGTTCTACGTTGTTACTGACTGACTGAAATAGGTATACGACATGCTCGTATTTAAAGTCACTAAGGGTCAAATCTTCTGACAACCTTAAATTAAAATGCAAGCATGATTTGAATGTTCCTCCCCTTCTAGATGCAAAACTTTGCTTCAGAAATAATTTGCACTACTGCCTAAATCATTCATAAGAATTGAAGCGTCTGACCACTTTATTTATCTTGAAAGTCTTATCAGCCCTGATGGGTTGGTGTCTGACGAAACCTTGGATTTTACCAGTTCCAGTTACCTCTGGCGTAAGGCATTCGTTCGTCAACCGAACGGCAAGTATGCCGATTATAGCTTCACCGTTTATTACTCTATGTGATTTATGGTAACAAGACATGAGTAGACTACAGGTTTTTGATTTTGTCCTTGAAGCAATACTCATGGATCATGAGAGTACAAAATAAACAGTCTTGAGGTAAGATGAAGTGTGGCGAGTCCATTGAAGCAACGAGTCTTCATTTACTGTGGTTGAGACATGAATTATGTATGCCCAACCACCCCTTACTTGGTATAGGGGTAGGTTGAAATAAACGTAGTGGCAACCAAGCCGAAAACATAACATCAGTCAATAAAGCTATTGACTGTCGGTCTAACATATTTCGGTAAATGTAGACTGCCTGGTTAGGGTCCTCGCGATAACTGGAATATATGGTGAAGACGTTGAATGATATGGCTCAGAATCAGCAAAACTTTTCAGGAATTTTATTATTATTATTAGCTCAAACATTATTCTATTTACATTGTACAATGTAAACATGAGTTCAAGATACATTGACTGAGGAGACTGATCTGGTTGGACGGTGCGTTCTGAAATGAAAAAGACGTAAGTACAAGATACAGACAGTGTACATGTGAATAATGATACTGAAATAGTTTTTGGATATAAATTAGTCTTTCAGAAAATAATATAGATGTCTTTGTAAATGTTTGTTATAATCAGTTCTTAGCAATTTCTACTAAAAAATTATTATGCTCTAATCTCAGCTGAAAAATGGGTATATGAATCATACAACTACATCCTAGGTTGCTATATAACTTACCATTAAAAAAGTAAATAACTAAATAGAGATCTTGGTGGAGTTTTGTTCTCTCAGCTGGATGGTTTGGTCGTGGAGCTTTCATCGTTCTTCTGAACGACATCATCAGCACAAACTTCAAATAGAAGTGAAGTGTTTGAATTTCTCCATATGTGTTTCAAAGCTTGTTCTGTGCACCTCGATGTTGATTGGTTCTTATTGACCTTAAATTTGTCATTGTTTACTTCTTTGTTTTGGTTGTGTCTCCGATTGTTTTGATTTTTGTTCCTATGTTTGTGCATGCTTTTCCTGATTGGTTGATAAATTGGATTGATTTCAATATGCTTGTTGATTGACCTGAGTGCCAGGTTTCTAAAAATTCTCTGATGTTTTTGGAGTTTTCCCTGTCTAAGATTTCCACATTTTTCCAATCGAATGAGTGTCCGCAGTTGTCCACGTGTACTGATATAAGTGAGGAGATATCATGCCGTTTGACTGCTAATTGATGTTCATGTAGGCGCAGGTGAAGGGGGCGTCCGCTTTGTCCGATGTAGTGTTTTTCGCAGTTGGCACAATTTATTTTGTAGATGATGTTTGATTTGTCTTTCTTTGTTATTTCATCTTTTGGTTTGCATAGGATTGATTGTAGTGATTTTGTCGGTTTGTGTGCTACACCTATTCCGAAGGTTTTCAGCAGTCTTGTTGCGGTTTCTGATATTCTTTGTATATATGGTAGGGTGATCCTTTTGTTGATTTTTGTGCTTGACTTGAGTTCTGATGCTGCGTGAGGTTGGTACTTTTTGATGAAGTTGATTGGGTAGCCGTTCTTCTGAAATACATCCTTCAGGTATTTCTCTTCAATTCTTCGTGCTGCCAGTGTGCTGCAATGTGTTCTTGCTCTCTTGAACAAATTGTGTACGCAGTTGATTTTGTGAGCTCTTGGGTTGTTGCTATTGTAGTTGAGAATTTGATCTGTATGGGTCGGTTTCCTATATACTTGAGTTTCCAGTTTTCCTGTGTCGGTTCTAGTGATCAATACATCCAAGAATGCTAGTTTGTTGTTTGACTCCTGTTCCATGGTGAACTTGATGTCATCGAAGACGTTGTTGATCAGGTTGTAAGTGTTTTCTAGTTCATTCTTTTTGACGATGACGAAGGTTTCGTCTACATAACGAATCCAAATTTTTGGTTTGATCACTGGTAATATAGCGGCTTCTAGTCTTTGCATCACTGCCTCTGCGATCAATCCTGATATTGGTGATCCCATTGGTGTCCCTTTCGTTTGTTCGTAGATTTTGTTGTTGAATTGAAAATATGTTGTTAGGCATAAATTGATTAGTTCCTGTAGACTTTGAGTTTGGAGCTTCGTGTATTTAGTGAGGTTTGTGTCGTTGTTGAGCAGCAGGGATATAGTTTCTTTTGCTAATTTTGGTTAATTGAGGTGAATAGTGCTGTTACGTCGAAGGATATCATCAGTTCGTCGTTATTGATTTGGATGTCCTTAATTTGGTCCAAGAATTGTGTAGGGGATTTGATGGAGTGGTTGGCTGAATCTACTAAATGTTTCAGTATTCCTGAAATTTCTTTTGACAAATTGTACGTTGGTGTTCCGGGGAGTGCTACAATTGGACGTAGTGGGATGTTTGGTTTGTGTATTTTGGGTCTGCCGTAGAATCGAGGGAGTACTGGTCCGTTTGATTTCATTCTCCATTGTTCTTGTTTTGTTATTTCTCCTGCTTTGACTAGCTTGTTTAAGGTCTTTGAGATTTGGTTGTCTAATCTTTTGACGGGATTTGTATCCATCAGTTTGGATGTGCTCTTATCTTCCAGTAGTTCTTCAGCTTTTTTGACGTATTCTTCTTTGTCCATGATTACTGTGGTGCGTCCTTTGTCCGCTGGTATTATGACAATATCCTTTCTATTTTTGAGTTCTTTTAAGGCCTTTTGTTCTTGTGCAGTCAGTTGGTTGCTTTCCTTCACCTGTTGAGTTAGCCGTACTATAGTTTGCCTTATTTCTTGTTGTGTTTCTTCACTTACTCCGGAAGTTTTGAGTGATGACTCCAGTGCTACGAAGAATTCCAGCTTTGAGGCGTCGCTTGTATTGTAGTTTAATCCTTTTTGGAGTAGGTGTTCTTCCGTATTTGTTAGTGGTTGTTTTGACAAATTGACCACGTAGTTGTTTGTGTTTTCTTCTTCAAATGAATCAGCAGCACAAGATTCTAGTTTTAGAGGTAAGCAGTGAACCCGTTCACATTGTCGAACCAAAGGTTATTCCACATTGACTGATCCTTAACTCTGGGCTTAAACTAGGTATTAACTAAAGATCAACATTCTAAAACTGGATAAATTCCTACTAAAATGTGAGGTATACTGTAAGTGTATAATAATGAATGGCTTGGTTATATGGTGGATAAAGTATGGCCTAACATTACGAATAAAAACTCAAGGTTGAGTTTCTATACTAGGAAACTATAGTTCAACGTAACAGATAAACTAGTATCGGAAAAAAGTAAATAAAAAACTTACATTACAGATTTACATAAGTAAAGTTTAATCAACTCGACCGCAGTGGTTTCTGTCTTAAAATATCCATTTAAGCTATACATACTGATTTTTTATTAACTTTTACGCAATCCTCTAATTTCCTATAATTAATAACAATAACTTTACAAAGTGAAAGAATAACCAACCAATGTTTGTCTTTAATCCATCCCAGGTTATCAGCAATTAGATGCAAACTTTGGCACCCATCACAACGAATTATAACTATGCCTTTTTCATAAGCCAACTTAGAAAAATATTTACTTGATCGAGTAGTGCACTTCTAAAGAGAAAAGATTTCCTGATAACAATATTACGCATTCAATTACCTTGCATGTGAATTCAATGTACATCTTTCCTTTAATTTCATCTTGATCACCTGACAATTCAGAGTTATCTGATGTGACAGAAACTGGCAATGTTGACTGTGGGTTAGTTACAGTATCTGAACAAAAAAAGTTTTTAGGCTGGATTGTGTCCAAACTCCAAAGGACTCTGCGAATACTCGATGGGTACGTACACAAACATCTACTAGGATAGTTTGAGAATTTCCAGAGAAAACTAGATGTGTAATAGCGATATAATTGTGTAGAAACTGATTTTAATCGCATTTGTGGAAACAACAGTTTTCAATTACGTAAAGGGAAAATTCTGACACTTTTCAGTTAAAACGTCAGTATAGAGGGAGCTAAACGAAAGGAAAACAATGGAATAACTACTTAGTTATTTAAAAAAGTAGGCTACTATTTTTCATGCTTTGTCAATGGATTTCTACCCCAAGCTTGTTTTAAAACAGATGAAAAGTACTTAACCATTAAACGCACTAACACCACGGTTCTTATCGTCATCCGTCACCGAAAAAGAAATCGCTAAACTAGAATCGCGACGCATGGGTATTTCCACAATATGAAAGACAAACTACAAAATCGTCATGGGAGGAAAACAGAATATGTTAACGCTAATTTAAATTGTTCAGTATTATCGAACATTACCATCTCACTTCATGTCGGCAGTTAGAAATAGCTTTAAAGGTTTTTATTTATTAGGTTTTAGAATTCACAGAAGGATCGTTTCGATTCGGAATAGTTAAGTTTAAGACGTTATGACTGAAACTTATTTGTATGTTCAACTTGATTTTAACAAATCCGGCGAGACTCTAATGTAGCGACGAACCAATCAGAAGCGTTTGAGCAATTTTAAGGCCACGGAGCCAAGTTCAACACGCGATGCTAACATACGATCGGTTCACAGCGGATTTTAGAGAGGAGGTGATTAACGAGAGGTTACGACAGATGGGACGGCGAGACTCTAATTTAGGGACGAGCCAATGAGAAGCGTTTGAGCAATTTCAATTATTAGCCTATCAGAAGACAATTAAAGTAAAAATATATTACAAGAAAGTAATGAATTACAGTGGATATTTTTCTTTTACATAATTTAAACCATTTTAAGGTTTGATTAAGGCTCAGAGGTTCTGAATTCATAATGTATATGGTATAGAAACTCATCCATAGGGTTAGGGTGTTAACATGCGATCGGTTTACATCGGATTTTAGAGAAGAGGTGTTCATTGACAGGCTACAACCCCAACCCTAACCCTGACCCTACCCATAACCCTAAACCTAACCTCATGGCTGAGATTGCCTGTCAAACAGTTGCACCGGCCCGTCCCAACATATGGAAGGCAGATATGCAGGCAATTAACTCCGCAGCATCGGCTGAAAACTGGGAAATTGACTCAAAGGCATCAGTACAAGAGGCATGGACTCTATTCAGGCAGTTATACAATCGGGTAACTCAACCATACATACCATGGACTGTCCCAAAGAAAAAGAAGCATGGACGTCTCTGGATAGGCCGGGATATTCGGCGTTTACTGAGACAAAAGAAGAAATGCTGGGACGTTGCCATCTGCCTTGGCACAGCAGGTACGATGGAACGCTACAGATCGATAAGAAACGAGTGTATAACGAAAATTCGGGAAGCGCAAAGAAAATATGAAATGCAGCTGGCACAATCTGCACTCAAGCAGCCCAAGAGAATATTCTCGTACATAAACTACAGAACAAGGATGCATCATTGGATTCCCAACCTAATTAAAGTAGGAAGTGAATCTGAAATGATAGAAGATCAGGAAAAAGCAGAGGTTATGGCTGACTATTTTGGGGCAGTTTTCACTCAGGAACCTCCTCTAGAGAAAGAACCAGACCCAATTACAGAGTCAACAAACCAGCTGCTCACCGTGGACTTCGACCAAAACGATGTGCTTAAGGCTCTTAGCACCCTAAACATGGAGAAGTCAACAGGACCAGATGAACTACACCCTAAATTCTTGAGACATATTGCCCAATATATCGCAGCCCCACTGACTGTGATATTCAATATGTCACTTGACCAAGGTGTGTTACCTATGGACTGGAAGGACGCAATCGTCACTCCCATACATAAAACAGGTCCACGACAAGTTCCATCGAATTACAGACCCGTAAGCCTCACCAGTGTGGTAATTAAAATACTGGAAAGAATAATAAAACGGACCATAACGGCATTTATGGAAACCAATAACTTGCTGAACATGGCACAACATGGTTTTAGAAAGGGTCTATCCTGTACAACGAACCTCCTTATAGCAAGGGAGTTCTGGATTAATGCGCTAGACAACGGAAACTCAGTGGATGTTGTCTACATAGATTTCAGTAAGGCTTTTGACAAGGTGCCAACTAATAGACTGCTATTGAAGTTGGCAAACCTTGGTATTGCCGGACCTCTTTTAAAATGGATTAAGGATTTCCTAGTAGGTCGTAGACAAAAAGTAAGAATAAATTCCAAGTGCTCCATCTGGAGACCAGTACTTAGTGGAGTACCCCAAGGTTCCGTCCTAGGTCCTTTACTTTTTATAATGTACGTTAATGATCTTACAAGTATAGTACAGTCTCCAATGTTATTATACGCTGACGATGTAAAAATTTGGCGAGTAATAACTGGAGACAAAGACGCATTTACTCTTCAGGAGGACTTAAATAATATGATAAACTGGTCTAAAGAGTGGCTGATGCCTATCAACTCGGAAAAGTGTGTCTACATGCACTTGGGGGATTCAAAGGTTAATACGTACAACATAGGGGATGTGTCATTACCCGTAGTCCGGTCTCATAAGGATCTAGGGGTGACAGTGAGTAATGATCTTAAGACGACGGCCCATTGCCGGGAGGTCGCAGCCAAGGGGTTTCGAGCCTACTGAGCTTTAAAAAGGACATTCACTAAGTTAGATACTACCATGTTCACCACATTATACACATCCTTAGTGAGAACTAAGTTAGAGAACAGTGTTCAGGCTGCAAGCCCCTGTTTAAAAGGTGACTCGGATATACTAGAAAAAGTACAGAGGGCAGCTACCCGTGCAATTCCGGAACTCCGGGGTTTATCATACAAAGAGCGGCTTGAAAAACTGAACCTCTTTACTCTGTCCTATCGCAGACTAAGGGAGATCTAATTTTGATGTACAGAATACTGAGATATGATTTCGGACCTAACTTATTCTTTCCACTAGATCGGGACACCTCAGAGGACATAGCAGGCGAGTAGAAAATCCAAGAACGAACAAAATACCCGTGGCATACAGGTTTTCATACCGAGTCATCAATACTTGGAACCTGCTGACTGAACCAGTGGTGTCCTCACCTTCAATTGACTCTTTCAAGAGAAGACTGGACACTCACAGAAACATACTAGAGAAAGAATGACATAAATCTTAGGCCTTCTGTCCTTACTACACAAATCTGAATCCAACCCTAACCTCTAAAACCCGTTGTAAACTGATCGCATGTTAGCACCCTAACCCTATGGACGAGTTTCTATACCATATACATTATGAATTCAGAACCTCTGAACCTTTATCAAACCTTAAAATGGTTTAAATTATGTATGAGATACTTTGCAATAAATTGAGTGTCTGTTGTGAGAGCGCGTCTGATTTAACATGCGATTAGAAATCAGGACATTCTTGGTGTATAACGTAATACCCATAATTTCAGTCTTCAGTAATAAGGATAGTAGGTTGATGAACCTGTGTTAATCCTGACACATTGCTTTCCAGTGAAGGTCCAGCTTTTCCTTGAAAGTATTCACTGATGGGGCTGATACCACTTGTTCGGGTAAGGCGTTCCAATGATTGACTACTCGATGAGAAAAACGGGATCCCACTTTAAGTTTATTAGATCGTGGTTTATGAACCTTCTTGCTATGACCTCGGAGATTATTAGTGCTGGAGGGAGCAAAAAGATAAGACATATTAACACCCAAATCATAATTAAAGATACGAAATGCCAGTATAAGGTCACCTCGTGTCCTACGATACGACAAGGGGAAAAGATTTAGGCGTTTTAAGCGCTCATCGTAAGGGAGTCTAGAAAGACCCTTCACTAATTTCGTTCCCACACGCTGGACACGCTCAAGGGAGTTAGTATCCTTTACCAGACACGGGCTAGCTGCTTGGATACAGTACTCTAAATGTGGTCTAACATATATGGGATATAAAATTCGAAACGTTTCCTCGTCAAAAGATTTGAACGCTCGGCGAAGTGACCATAACGCACGAAAACCTTTGACAGCGGCTGCTTTGCAATGCGCAGTTGTTTTTAAATCATGACTTAATATTACTCCTAAGTCCTTATGCTCTTGAACGCATGGAAGAGGTTTACCCTCAATAGTGTAACGGTAACTATTACCGTGACCGATGTGCATTAGTACACTCTTCCTAGCATTGATTTCTAAGCCCCACTCTCGAGCCCATCTAACTAAATCGTCTAAGTCAGCTTGAAGATCCACATGATCAGCCGCACTTTTTATTGTTCTCCAGATTTTTACATCATCCGCAAACAATAATGTCGACGACCTAAGTAACAGCGGTAACTCATTAACGTAGAGAAGGAAGAGCAGAGGGCCTAAGATGGTGCCTTGGGGTACACCACTTTTGACCGGCTTCCAATCGGATAGCGTTCCATTGACCCTAACTCTCTGTCTGCGGTCACATAAGAAATTTCCTATCCACTCATGTACAGTACCTATTATTCCGAAGCTCGTGAGCTTCTGCATAAGACCTACGTGTGAAACCTTGTCAAACGCTTTGCTAAAATCTATGAATATCACGTCGACAGACAGACCGTGATCTAGGGCTGCTGTCCAATCCTCCCTCGCAATAAGCAAGTTAGTCAAGCATGAACGCTTGTTACGAAATCCGTGTTGCTCAGGAGCTAACAGATTGTGTAAATCTATGTGGCTTAGCAACCTAACCCGAATTATCTTTTCGAGTAACTTAACGACTATGCTAGTTAGACTGACAGGCCGGTAGTTAGATACTATCTGTCGCTGACCGTCCTTAAATATAGGACTAACTATAGCGTCCTTCCAATCTCTAGGGAGTTGAGCGAGTGAGAGGGACATGTTGAAGAGTGTCGCAAGCGGTTTTGAAATAATGTCCGCAAGAGATGACAGCAACCGTGGATGTAACCCGTCAGGGCCCGGTATCTTACCAGGTTTGAGGTTAGTTATCAACGGAAGGACAGTTTCCTCAGTCACCTGTACAGATTCAATGGTTGGTATCTCGGTGTGA